ACGAATACGGCTGGCTTTGGAGCCGCCAACAACAATGCGGCTGGTGGTCTGTTCGGTAGCAAGCCTGCCCCAACTGGTGGCCTTTTCGGAAACAGCACCACAGCTCAAACGAACACACCTGGAGCTGGCTTCGGCGGCGGCTTGACCTCAAATACTCAGATGAACCAAAATACCGGCGGCCTCTTCGGTGCCGCCAATAACCAGCAGCAAAAGCCCGGTTTGTTTGGTGGCAGCACTAACAATGCTGGAAGCAGCCTCTTTGGCGGCCAAAACAACCAGAACGCTGGATCTTCCCTGTTCGGCGGCAGCACAAACCAGCAACAGCAACAGAATGGAGCTTCAATCCTAGGCAACAGCCAGTCCGTCAATGCCCCTCAGGGTCTGACTGCCAACCTCAACGACGTTTCGGCTTTTGGTTCTCCTGGTCTGTTTGCTGGCCTCGGTGGAAACGAAGTCCAGAACCCCGGTCCTCTGGCCACTCCACTGAGTGGTGGTTCAAAGCCAAGAAGAAGCTCGATTCTGCCTATGTATAAGCTGGCTCCGGCCTCTGCTTCTCGATATGCTACTCCCCAAAAGCGAGGCTTCGGCTTTTCTTACAGCAACTACGGTACCCCCTCGGGCAGCCCCGCGAGTAGCATTTCCAGTACACCTGGAAACCTCGGCCACAGTTTACTAGGCTCCAGCCGATCTGGAAATCTCAGTAAAAGCCTGTCGACTAACAGCCTGCGCCGCAGCTTTAACACTGAAGACAGTATTCTTGCCCCCGGAGCTTTCTCTAATGGATCTCAGCCCAGGTGGTATGGAAGCACTGGCTCCAAGAAGCTCGTTATCAACAGAGACATCAGGAGTGATCTCTTTTCAACGCCGCAGAAGGACAGGGCCTCAGATGCTGGAACTGGTTCCCGAAAGCTCTCCAAGCGTGTTAGCTTTGACACAAGCAACGTTGACATGGATGACAGCACACCTGTTCGCGGTGCTCTTCCTGCTGCTAGCGACGTTGAAAGCCCAACAGCCAACGACGAGACCCCTCGCCAGATCCGCACAGCTAATGGCTCGAACGGTTCAGCGGGCTCCAAGACCCCTGAAATGGAGGAAGTTAAGGGCAACGAGCTGGCTATCGTCCATGAGGAGGATCACACTGCCACTCCCGAGGCTTCATCTACCAGCACCGACAATGCTCCCGGACAATACTGGATGTCACCTCCCTTGGAGGATCTCGAAAAGTTAAACCGCATGCAGCGCCAAAAGGTTGATGGCTTCACTGTTGGCCGTGACAATGTTGGTTATGTTTCTTTCAAGGTCCCTGTAGACATCAGCAACATTGATCTGGCTGAGATCTGCGGCACTCTTATTGTGCTAGAGCCTCGATCTGCTACAGTCTATCCGATCTCAGCCAAGAAACCGCCTGTCGGCAAGGGCCTCAATGTTCCCGCCAGGATTGCTCTCGAGCAGTCATGGCCTCGGGGTGGTAAGCGTATCGCCAATGACCCTAAACGGTTTAACAAACACGTTGAGCGTCTCAAGCGAATCGAGAACACAACTTTTGAGAGCTACGACAAGGAGACCGGTGTCTGGGTCTTCTCAGTAGAGCACTTTACCACTTATGGCCTTGATGACGATGATTCCGACGACGAGGAGATGACACAGAACGAGCCAGCCGCCCCCCAGGAGGTGGCTCTCGATGCTTCCATCAACTCCAACAACTCGCCCATGGAAGATGACACATTCGAGTTTCGAAGACATGGAGGTCTTCCTGGTGGTTTTGACGATGAAGCTCAAGCCCTACAACCCCACTTCTCTGGCGAGCAGTCTTTTTTAGGGGTTAGCTCCGCGGATTCCGCACCCAACGATGTCAGGCTGTCCCTCGAGGAGGAATACGCCGATGATACGGGTGATGAATATGACGTGTCCGAGGATGAAGACATGGCGAGGTCTTCCCTCGAACCGCATCTGGCCGCGGAGCTCGACGACAACTCGTCCGAGGGTGCTCCGGAAGCCGTGAAAGCGACTCCCGGAGGCATCCTCAGAGCTAGAATGCGAGCTGTTAAGGACTCTGCTGGTCCTGTGCAGCTGGAAGTTGCCGATGGGGACGATTGGATGGAGATGTTACGAAAGACTGTCAGCCCAGTCAAGCGAGACCGACAGCTTTTGAGAGAGCTGAATGACTCTCCCTCAAGACAGACGGGTGTATTGATCGACCTCGACAAGAGTGGATCCGACACTTTGCGGAAATCATCCATTTGGAGGAAGAGTATTGCAAAGAACGATAGGCCGGACAATTTCGCGACAAGCACCATTGGCATGGATAAAGGCCGTGGGTTTGCGACTAGCATCGACCTCATGAACTCATTGTTCGAGAAGCCCAAGCCAGCGCCCCAGAAAACTCGAGCCTCAGTCTCTGGCAAAGGCTTTCCCAAGGTCGGTTCCCTAGTTGTTACCTGAGTGGCCCCAGAATGTAATTGCTCGAGGTTTATGTATCTATTGACTTATAGTATATGAATTGACGCTAAAATTGATTTTGATTAGTGGCCCTACGAGCGACAAGACAAGACAATGACTTTAGACGGTTACGAAAAGACTTTCCACGACGCTGGCCGACCTACTTGGGGTCCTGACGAGACACTTGTTGTTCCCCGACCACTGGTTTCAGAAGGCAGCCGACGATCTCTCACCCATAATACCGACCTTGTTTCTTTTCAACGCTGTTCAATTCAGACTGATAAGCAAGATCTCCGCCTAGCCTCATTCACAATGGAGGTTAGTTATTGAGCATCGACCATCAGACATATGCTGACTCGTCACATAGCAATCCAAGCGATACCTGGGCAACCAGGATAAGCTCACTGAAATCCGAATAGTTGATGATGTTCCTTTCGCCTCCCTCAACGTTACTCACTTGCAGGATGTCTTCCACCAACAGGACATGAACGACCCCGCAAGCATGCAGGAGAAGCATGTGTGGGAGTTGGCCAGTATCCTCTTCGACTCGGTCAACGACAATAGTCAACCGGAGCATCTTCTCCGCCGGAACAAGCTGTCACATTTCTGGTCTCTCCTTGTAGACTCGGCCTCGGCTACGACTATCGGCCTGGCAGGATCGAGCGAAGAGAAGGCTGTTGCGTGTCTAGCTGGCCACCGGATCATTGACGCTTGTAAGCACCTTCTCGACGGGAAGAATTTCCATCTGGCCACCTTGGTGCCTCTTATTGGTACCAGTGATGCTGCCAAGAAAGACATGCGAGAACAGCTCAAGGCATGGCACGATTCAAGGATGCTATCGGAATTTTCAGAATCGATCCGTACCATCTACGAGCTCCTTTCGGGTAATGCATGTGTCTGCGAAGGTATGAAGGGAGTGCCTGTTGAGGACCGCCTAGATTCGTTTGTTATTTCGAAAAAGTTTGGACTCGACTGGAAGCAGGCCTTTGGTCTCCGACTGTGGTACTCGATCGCTCAGCAGGACGACCTAGCAGCTGCAGTGCATAGCTTCAAGAACGATGTTGACCAGGAGAAGGAGTACCTTCCATTGCCTTGGTATATTGATCAGGGCATCAAGCCCTTGTGGGATGATGTCGACTCGGACCGCCGACAAGATCTTCTCTGGGGTCTTTTACAGTTGTACGCCAATAACAGCACCGACCTGGAGGCTGTGTTGCGCCCTGAAAACTCGCAGCTCTCTCCACTTGATATGCGGCTGACTTGGCAGCTCGGACTTGCCCTTGCATCTAGTGGCAGGGTTTCTTTTGGCCGGGATGGCGCTGAAAAGGCCGACGCCGCTACTCTTGCTTTCGCCTCGCAATTAACAAGCGCCGGTGAATGGCTCGAGGCAGTGTTTGTTTTGTTGCATCTGAGCAAGCCCCTCGCCCGCAAGATGGCTATCCAGGAACATCTTGCCCGGCATGCTGGCCTCGTCGGCGATGAAAACTCTGCCGCTTTCCAGTTACTTACCGAAAAATTCCAAATCCCTTCGTTGTGGATCTGGGAGGCCCTGGCTCTGTACATGCGCAGCGTTAAAAAGGATGCGTACTCAGAAGTGCAATGCCTCCTGCGCGCCGGCTCTTTTGTGGAAGCTCACCGTGTTCTGGTTAAGGAGGTTGCACCGCTAGCCATTGTTGAACGCGACTACGCGGACCTCTCTGCTCTTCTCTCTCAGTTTGAAGGCCGACAGGGGGTCATTTCGGACTGGCCGCTTGGAGGAGAGATCTACAGCTTCTTCCTGCAGCTCGTTCAGTATCGCGCGAGGCATGAGATTGCACCACAGGCAGTTTTGGAGAAGCTCCTTGCAGGTCTGCACGCGATGGACAAGGAAACAGAAGATTCTGGAGTCCTGCGGTACGCTGCCGTGTCAGACATGGCAGATGAGACAGCTAAGGAGATTGTTAAAGCCAGCAAGATGAAACAGGTATGATTTAGCGGATGGAACGCAAGGATGGAACAAGTACTAACTATGCATTGCAGGATATGGAATTGAGGTCTAGGATTCTCAACCTGCCTTTGACACAAGATCGTCTGTTGGCTTACTCAGTGGACTTGAGCATGGACCGATACCGGGAAGTTATGTCCCACTAGAAGGACGTGGACGTCAGCAGTATAGGATTAATGCCATATTGGAGTGGTTATACAATAGTCTAGTAATGCAGGAGGAAGTGCTAAAAAGGAGCAAGCGTGTCTTGAGGGCGTGAGAGTAGGGCGGGCATTCATTTATGGTCTCATGAGATCGACTTGTAGGAATAGTCTAGATAGTTTGCATGGAGCATTGGTAATAAGGAGACAATTGCATTTTGGGAAGACCTTTTGGTGTTGACTGTGATGTCAGTGACCGTGAGTTGTATGTAACTTTACTGTGGCAGACCTAGGTTTATTGATACGTGGGGGTCTGTGGATCATCAACCTCATTGGGAGTTTCTGTTTCTTCTTGGGCCACTGCAAAGCAAAGCTGATGGTGGCAATCATTCATTCATTTAGAGTCCATCTTGCATCACATGTTTGTAGGCCTCGTCATGTCTAAACCAAAGAATTGGCCGGACGGCTTCCCGTATCTCAAGGCGCCTCTTCATGACAAGAGTCTAACCCCAACGCACGTACAAGCTCTCAGAAACAAACCCTCTGCTCCAAGCGGCGTTCCAATCATCCCATCGCCGGCGACAACAACGCCGTGCAGTCTGGTCAAGATTCAGCCCATTTCTGAGCCGTCACACCCAGCAAACGGCCAAAACGGTCTCTTTGCAGCCCAAAATCTTGCGCCTGGTAGCTTCATCCTCGCGTATCTCGGCCGAGTGCACTCAGGCTCAGCATCGTCAACAGAGAGCGACTACGACTTATGGCTGGACCGAGAGCTTGACGCAGCTGTTGATGCAGCGAATGAGGGGAACGAAGGGCGTTTCGTGAACGACTTTAGAGGCGTGGGAGAGAGGGCGAATGCGGAGTTTAGGACGGTTTGGTGCGAGCGATGGGGAGAGTTTTGTGTGGGAGTTTGGGTGCTTGGAGGTGGGAAGAAGAATAAGAAGAAGGGAGTAGGGATCAAGAAGGGGGAAGAGATCCTTGTCAGTTACGGTAAAGGCTTTTGGGGAGAGAGGAAAGCGGAGGAAGATGATGATGCCTACTGTGATGGGGGAGATAACGGGGAGGGAGTTGGCAGTGAAGCCGTATCATGATGTGCACTTGGAGATGGAGATAGCTTCAGTTAAGAATCCTTGCTTTGATTGTATTGTCCTTGTCCAGTCTTTTCTAGCCTCAATTGTAGATTCGATGACCACCAGCCTACAACTTGGGATCCCACTCGTTAACCGCCATGTCTGCTTCTTTTTCTTCAAAGATAGTGACGGTGTTTTCCATCAGAGAGCGGCTGGCCAAGAGTGCAGACAGAAAAGTCAAGGCTTGGACGGCAAAGGCAATACTCAAAAGGTCTACAGAACCTTCTATCTTGCCCAGAAGCATGAGCTTGGCCGTCGCTAGAGTGAAGGTAGCAAGGCAGCCGAGCAGAAACAGTATGATGAAGATGAAATGCACCTGGGTTTTTCTGTAGCAACCGTACAGGTTCAGGCCTAGATAGAGGCGGTATCGGTCAGCACTGGGTAGAGAGTATTGGGGAGAAGCAGAGTTGCTATTTACCATGTCCATTGCCGTCTCCAGGAGGTGGCATGCTGGCCTTGACTTTTGAAAAACTGCGGACGACATTGAAGATGGTTGCGATGGATACAAGAGCAGCTAGACCAGTGGCAATGGCGAATGCGACTATAACATCAGGTTAGATTAGATTATATTCGAATAGATCACTGTCTCGAAGGCTCGGGTAGATAAATACCCATCAGATGAGAGTATTCATTGTCGAGAATAAAATCAATCTGTTCTCTGAGTACTGAGGTTTCTGTTGCTGTTTCTGCTTCTGTGACTGTTGCAGTAGCTGCCTTTACCACGGCTCTGGCTGTGACTCTGGCCATTGTATGGAAGCCAGGGACATCAGAGCCAGAACCAATAAGGGCATTGTTATCTAAGAAAGCGGTGGAGTTGTCGTCTCCAAGCATGATGGTGACGGGTGACGGTGATGGTGATGGTGATGGTGGTGATAGCTTAGAATATAGGATTGACCAAAGAAAAGAGGATGGTGATAATCAAGAGGGAGGGGAAACTGCAGAAGAACGCCGGGGGAAACGCCGTGTTTGTTCTCTTCAGCTTGAAGCCTAATCACAAAGTCATGCGTGCAACACGCACGCATGAGATGTATGAGATGTATACCAATCACATATATCCCCTTGCTATTGAGGGCCCCTTTCAGCGTCTTCTTATGGGACTGTTGTGGAATCTAAGGAGAAATGAAAAGTTCTATCTCTGTCGGAGCAAATAGAAACTCATCCTGGCTGCTTCTGGGAATATAATATTAACATAACAAGTTTTACACTCTTCGAATTGATCCTATCGTTGGGCTTTTGGTTCAAGTTAGACTTTACCTAGAGATGAGTACCTAGGTAGGTAAGGTACTTTTACATGATACCTCGGTACATGAGACTTGGTAAAGGTACTAACTAAAGTACTAAGGTACCTATATCTTCTCTTCTTCTGCGTCTTGCTTTCCCGGTTTCAAGATGCTCTATGTAAAGTATCTGAGACTAAATGGGGTACACATTATCATGGTATGAGCGTACTCACCGTCTTCACAATGATCATCTTAACCTTGGACACGCCTCATTGGGCCTCCTTTGCTGAGTCTTTTGCCACTACCTGACACTTGAAGACGTGTCCTTCTCTAGTACGAGTCTTTAGATGAGTCGAATTTAAATCACTGGTGGCATCTCTTTCATTTGGAGTAGTACCTCGGTCACGATTGGTAGAGAGTGAGTGTCTTCTTGATATCGCGCGCAAACTATAACCATGAGAGGTCGACTAAACTTTTCAGTCTGTGCCAGCACAAACTCTTGTGAACTTTATGATGAAGGCAAATAGCTACCTACTTATGTATGGTCAATATGGGGACCTGTCTCTCTTGTACTCTCTTCAAGTTAGTTTCCCCCTTCTGTCGAATATCAGGCAAATACCGCCAGTCTTCTCTATCATGGGTAATCATCCGCAATATTCCCCAACATGTCTGCGATTGGAGAAAAACAACGCCTTGCAATATGTTAGTATCTCGAATTGGGTGGTGATCAGTAACTATACTGACTCTTCTAGGTTATGGCTATATTTTAGTAGCCGTGGCTCAGTTATCCCTAGTCATCGTCGCATCTACCCTCCACAATGACACAACGCCATGTAAGAAATACTCATTGATATAGGTAGTACCCAGCGAGTAGTTCGGAATTGGGCTAACTCTTTCATCTCAGATGCAAAAGCCGCGTATGAGAGCTCCCAAAGAGCAACACGTACCACCAGCGGATTGGCCTTTCTCCTCCTGGTAGTCCAAGTCTACCTCTCCGCCATCATCACCCTCCTCGGTTGCCCCATCATTTTCATTGGGTGGTTTGTTATCGCTCAAATAGTATCTACGGTGTACTTTTGCTATATCCCCTTCAAGTACCCTAAGAGTGTCGCACCGCCTGTGGAAGATGAATGGTTCCTGGCTGATCAAGATGACTTGGAGCTGAGGATTCTTTCGTACAAGATGGACCCGGCATCCTTGAATAACTAAGCTTGGGGATGCTTGTCCTGCGTAAAACGTTGTCACTGGACTGAGAATGGCGGGAGGATCTCTCGGGAATGTAGATCAAGGTCTCCCGTCTCAACGGGCTCCAAAGTGAGCTTGATTATCTCTTAGCGAGATAGATGCCCAGGTTATGAGGCATTCTATGTAACCTTGGCTGTCTATTAGGTATCTACTTACGGAGTACATAGCTACAAGTCACTAGTCGCATACTTGCCCAAGTAAAGTATTTAAAAAGAACTGATGTCACTGTCATGTGCTTCTGTATAGCTCTTTAGTGGCTTGCCTACCTACCTACCTATCTACCTACCTACCTACCTACCTATATTTATAACCAAATGTTTCGTTTTGTTAGTGCGACTCTGCTCCTCCACTTACATCAAGTTACGTCTTCACCGTAGCATCGCCAGTCGTGGGTGTTTCCTAATTGGGAAAGCGGCGCGAGGAACCTTGTAACTATAGTTGAGCTTGAGGCTGACGATCACTAACGACCAAAGAAAGGGTCAAGCAAGATACTGCTGACGCTCGCGCTCTCTAAAGGCCGAATACAGCTACAGAACAAGTATAAATAAGGCTTTTTCCCTCTTCAGTCTTTCAGTCTTTCAGTCTTTTCGTCTGTTCAACTCGACACCTTCATCTTCCCATATTCAACCCTATATTCTTCACTTACACGGAATACACATACAAAGCATTATCTATATCATCAACCATGGCCTCTCAAATCTCAAACTCCTCTCCTCGTCTTGTACGAACTACACACGATGAGAACGGAACCTCCATTTTCGTCCCTGACACAAATGTCACACCCTTCCAGCCCTTTGGCCCTCAAGGCAGTGGCTTCAACGTCTTCGATGTCCGTCAAAGCGTCCCCGTCAACAACACAGACTCTGTCCCATCATTTGAAAACTCTCTTCCGAGATGTCCCCCCAAAGGCTCTCTCTTCTGCATGACCCAGATCCAGCCCGGTGGTAAAGCACCTATGCATCGTACCAAAAGCCTTGACTACGCTGTGGTTCTCTCGGGTGAGATTGTGCTGGGGCTCGACGGTGGAGAGGAAAGGACTGTCAAGCAAGGAGAAGTCATTGTTCAGCGGGGCGTGAATCACAGCTGGGAGAATAGGGGCGACGTTACGTGCCAGATCATATTTGCCATGATCGGTGCTGAAACCATCACTCTCAAGGATGGAACGGAATTGGAGGAGACTGTGTTCCAATGACATAGTCTAAGGGAGTGAACTATAGTTAATTTGGTGTACTCGAATCATTAGATCTCGGATAGAGCACCCAAGCTTGACTTGATGCCCGTGCACTCTCTGATCCGTTCAAACACTCTCTGTGCATCCTCTTTCTGTGAACCCGTGGTCAAGGCGCTCCGGCTTTTGATGATCTTTATAGGCCAAAGCAAAAGGTATGCGCCGACGGCCTGCCAACGAGCCGCCTTTGACCCCGCGTGCCAGCGACCAAGGTGATCGATGTCACCAAACGATTGGGGAACAGTTGCCAGGACCTCGCCAGCCAAAGACTGGACAGTGCTGACTGACTCTGTGGTTCGAGATACAACTCTGGAGTCTGATGGTAGTGCAGTATTGACCATTTCCAAGCAAGCCACCAGTTTCTGATGAAGAATGATGCGCGCAGTACGGTGGTAATTCCACTCATAGGCCATCCATAAGTCAGGATGAAGCTGGATAGACTCTGGCAACCAGAAGTTGGACTCTCTGTTCTCGAGTACTTCATCACGAGCCCTAGACTGAAAGTTCCATTCTGGTTTCTTTCGCCAGTGAGTAGCCTCTTGATCAAGGCGGAGCATCTCATCTATCAGGTCTAGCAAACGGTGTGCTTCAGTGTCTCCAGCATTGATAGAGCTCAGTAACTGGTTTGCCTGCTGACACACCTGATTGATTGCTAGACCGTCTTTTTCTAGCTTTACCGAAGCCATATCGTCGTTCAACTTGTCAAGCCAGCCTTGCGATTCAGGGAGTGGGCTTAATTGCTTAGCCAAGTATTGTTTTTGCTTCTCACTGTAAGTCCAGCATTTACTTGCACGGAGGGCGAGGGTTTCTTACCAGTCTATGGTGAGCTAGACGGAACAGACCCCAGCCACGGGGATCATGGAATTGCTCCTGGCCACGGAGTCGCAAAATATGTGCCATGCCCTGGGCGTGCGCACCAGTTGTCGATGAGTCAGGCATAAATATTGTCCGTAGGAGTGTAAGCTTGGTAGGTTGAGTGCAGTTGTGTAGTGTATTCACCTCAAATATGTCTAGCATAACGACTGCCATCAAATCGTAATCATCTGGAGTCTTGTTCTTCTCAGCCAGCGATTGTCCAAGGGCACTAAGAGCATAACCATAGAGCTCGAGCGACCTCTCGACTAATTCCTCTGAGCTTTGTTCACGAGAAAGGTCTGCCAAGGCACATGCTTGAACAGCGAATCTCAATGCGTAGCGGCCCTCAATGTTGACTTCTTTGAACAAACAAGGGAGATGCTCAAGAAAGCCAGGGGAGGATGACTCGTTACAAGGAAGCAACACGTATTTCTCCATGAAGATGTTCGCTATCTGTTCATCCTTGGAAGCGGACTCTGTTTTGGGCGGGTCTTTTAACCATGGAAATGCTGCTGGAAGATTGACAGGAGTAGTCGAAGAGAACGCGCTCTCGGGGGCACGCTCAACCGATCTACTCCTTGTACGATTTTCTCGGGGAGATTTTGAGCTGCTGGAACTAGACGAGTTTGAAGGAATAGAAGCTTGGCTCTTCAGGACAACTTTTGCAGTTTCGTGTTGGAACATGAGGTCGCCTTCATCTCGATACCCTACACACAGCTCATTGCGGGCGATACAACGTTGACACGAAGGGCGACTGCGGTCGCACTACGATAATCAGATTAGTTCTCGCTTGGAAATAATAATGATAATACAATTGTTGATTACCTTGACTCGTCGTTGGCGGCAGCGAAGACAGCCTCTACTTCGATGTGACATTGTTGTTGTTGTTGTTGTTGTTGCTGTTATTGCTTACACGTACCTAGTTTGGGTTGAAAGGTCCAAGTTACCCCACGGCACTAATAAACTTGAGCCTCTACAAGAGCCACGGCCATCAAACAATGGTAAGATCACGAACAAGAGACCAGACGAACAAACCTCGAAAGTATGACAATGCATTGGGCTTATCAGAAGGACTCAGGCTATGGACATGACTCAAAGGCTTACATCGACTTGGAGCAAATGAAGCATCAGTGTTCACTCTCGAGCCTACGACGGAACACACAACCAGAAATATTGTTTCCTAACAATCGATGCATATTCTAGTTAAGAATCTGTTCAGGGCTTCTGAATGAGCAGTTCGCCCTCCACACAAAGTGTTGTTCGGCGTAGATAGCTTGACTCTTGTTCATAAACACCATGTCGAACAAGATATCTCAGATATCTCCTGTCCAACTGAACAACCTGACACTCGTCCCTAACTCTATAAAGGATACCTCGAAAGATGACACAGCCAGTCAACTATATAATGATAACCTGTCTTCAATATAATGACAATCTCTACGACTATCAAAGTACATGCACTTTTGCAACTTCAGCTTCAATAACCGGTTTTAATCATCACACATTCCCCAAGATATACAGCAAAGAAACCCATCAAAATGCCTTCATTCAACGATCACCGCATTCGAAAGCCCTATCCTCGTAGTAGAGGTCCCACCCGCAACAGAAATTTACAACAATCTTTGAACATCAACACCAGCCAACGTGATGATAAATTCAAGACTAATATCTTTGCTCACGCACACTTCTCCCCAACCCAGCCCAGCCAACCAATCTGGAAGCAGGAAGATGCATGGCTTCACGTTGAGCAGAAGGACTCTGTTTCGGTTCTCATGTCTTCTCTTCACTCTGCAGCCGATGACTGGGAATGTAAGGACTGTAGCTGGCAGCTTCGTAACCTGGCAGCCAAGTTCTACACTCAATTCCACTCAAACAACAAAGGCCTGCCTACTTCCTATCCTACGGAAATGGCTACCAGAGAACCTTCATCTTATCGACGAAGTCGTCGCCATCGTCGCCGAGATTCAGACGCCGTGTCAATGCGCTCTGCTTCCTCTGTAAGAAGCTCGGCTTCTTCGAACCTTGGAGGCGATATTGCGTATCTAAGACGCTGCACACTAACAAAAGACGTTGGACAGGACGGGCAATCCTTCTATGGAGTCCACCAAGCCCATCTTGATCTTAGCCTCGGAGAAACTGTCAGCGTCCACATGCGTCCAACCGACCAGAGGCGAAAGCTCAGCGAACTCGGGCCTGGAACCATCGTCTCGGCTCCTTTCCATAGCCAGAATCGCGACGACAAGGTATCGACGACTAACTATCACACAGCAGTCTCTGGCTTCGGCCCCATCTACTCCAAGTACCGCAAGATGATCACCATCGAGATTTGGGGAGATCATGCCGTTTGCCTGCCCATCTACAGTTACAACGGCAAAGGTCTTGAGAACCGTGGAGGCATGGCAGACGAGTACATGGATATCCGTGATATCGATGACGACGAGCCTGAAGATGGCGATACCCATCACAAACCGCTTATGGCTATCCGCAGTGAAGGGTGGCCTGGTAAGAACACTTTCATCTGTGGCAGGTCAGTTGTCAAACTGACAGAGAAAATCACCCACCACGCGTTCCAAAAGTGTTCCGTTGAAGGGTCTCTCACAAACTCGGACTTCCAACGTATGTATAAAGCATATCTCGGGCTGCTACAATCAAAGGCGCTGGAGGTCTTTGGCAAACCTGTCGAGGCTATCATTATACCAAGCAAAGCATAGACTAACAATAGGTAAGTCACATAGTTCTCTCTTGCTGAGCATTCATAGACACTCGCTAATACAAATTTCCTTTGTTAAAAATCATATTCCTATTCCTATTCCTACTCCCGTTCCAGGTCCTGGTCCTGCTCCTCATGCCCTTAACCTCCAAGAAGCATCGTTCCGTTCCGTGACCTGTCTTGTCTAGTATTTCAATAACAACAATACGCTTGCTACAAATAACGACCCCTGTCTCTGGCGAGATCAAGCCAACAAAGCAACCCACGCCGATCCTACCAAGGTATATAGTACATCCGTAACCCCTAACCTTCCCGTAATCAACCGCTTTCAATAAAATTAGATATCCTCTCCCTCGGCATCCACATCCTCTCCTTTAGCAGCCTCTTCCGTTGATCCCGATCCCACATTATTTGCAGTAATCCCATTGACTTTGGCACCATTAGTCTTCGTCGAGACAACGACCGAGTCTTCTGCTGCTGAGTCGAGAACTGCCACCTCCTGTTCTGGCCCCTTGGCTTCTGTGACACCTTGCAATTTGGCTTGGCGATCGACCCAGCCGGGCGGTAGACCAGGGCCACTGGTAGCGTTACCGTAATCTGATTTCTTTGTTCCCTTTGGCCATCTACCTGGTCCCCGGCCGGTCCCTCCAGTCTTTTTCTTTGAACCCTTGGGCCGAGACGAGGATGGCCGATGGCTGTTGCTGGGACGCTTCGGTCTAGGAGCACTGGCTGGGCGAGGGGCTGTCGGTCGACTGACAATTGGTCGAGCTCTTTCTCGTCGACCACCAGGTACGGCAGGGAAGACTTCAAAGCGGGTGAACGGAATGTCCTGGTATGGCAGTAGCCAAGCCGGGGGGCCCACGGCTTTTGCATCTTCCATTTCAACATCCTTATCTTTCTCTTGCCCGGGCGCCACATCTTCGATAGACTGGACTGGCACTGGCTCCGCACTGTGGTTCTCGGCTGGAGACTCCTGGGGTTGTTCTCCATCGATGTTCATTGGAGCATCGCCGTCTGCATCTGCGACTGCTTGAGGGGCAGACGTATCGTGCTTCTCCCCATTGACCATTGGCTGACGGTCCTCGATGGCAGCCGTGCCATTTCCCTCGTCAACCTTGGCCTCGTCGTCTTCCCTTGGCGCGATGGTATTGATCGGTGGGCCGAGTTCAAAGTTGACGGCATTGGTTCGACCCATCACATACGGAGTCCAAACGAGAGCTTCGGATTTTAACTGAACGTAACCCTTGGCTTCCCACTTGCCCACGTATTCTCGACAGTAATCCAAATCGACTCGGAAGGCATACAGGTTGGTCTGCGGATCTCTGACAAGGGCCCTAAGACCTTCCAGTGCAGAAATGACATCGTCCGGGGTCATGCCGGTATTGGCCGATATCCGTTTTATGCTAAGCCCTTCCGTTGCGTGTTTCTCATTCTCCATCACCTTCAAAAAGTATCGACACAGAACCAGCCGCCAGTAATTGCGATACGAGACCAGGCCCATATCAGAGAGAGGTTTCTCGGGAGAGCCCGTCTTCTCCTCCACTTTGGTGAGCAAGTAGGAAAAGTCTATAAGCAAGTTGCCGTAACCTTTTCGTTGGTGTATTGGTAATGTCAGAATACATGAGACATTGTTTTGGCTGCTAGCCCTCTTTTCTTTGGAAAAGTACCCCACAAAGTGGTAACCTGTCTCGTTGTATTCGCATAAAACATAGAAAAGGAAGGGTTCAACGTCGTAATACAAGGTTTTCGAACCCAGGAACAGCTTGGCAAGAAGGCACAGATTCTGGCAGTAGACCGGATTCTTGCGGCCGTCGACCTCAAAAACGGAGACTGACCCATGACGATAGATCTCGTCTCCTGGTGGATGCTTGGCTGGGCATTTGAGTTTGTGCCTCCAAGCAACGTAGTCAGAGTTCATGTACTTCAGACAGAACTCACAAATGTACAGTACTCGATTTATGCTGTATTCGGCAGGATACGGCGCAGCATACCAAGTATCGATCTCCCAGCCGCCAAAATCGATGCATTCGATCTCACTGCCGTTGTTGCCGGCCTTTTTCGATTTTCGAACTGGTGGGTTGGGGTCTTCTTGCATGGCCTGCAGAAGACGCGCTCTCCAGTCATCTTCAGCCTTCTTCAGAGTAGAGGTGAACTTGTTTCGATCATCCTCGTCAGGGAGAGTCTTGGATGTGTCGGCCTCGACCTCGGTCAATATGCCGCCGTAGGGCTTGCCCTTCATCTCATCGGCCTCGCGATCATAGAAGGAATAAAATGGTTGTGAGTAGTTGTCCGATGTAAAAGGCGTGGGAAGGTTAGATATAGTTGCAGCAGTAAGGTTGGCTCTGGCAACTGGAGCTGGAGTCGCAGCCAGGGCTTGTCGTTGAGGGGTCGGGCGCGTGGCACTGCCTGGCTGCCTTCTCTTTTCTCGCTTTTTGCGAGATAAGATTTCCTTAAGATTGCCAGGCTTGACATGAAGTTTAAGTACAAGTGAGGTACGAGTACGTTTCTCTATTGAGACGGGTGGGGGTCGTGGAACCTTGAGACGCACAGTTCTGGGAGGGTGGTGTCGTCCTGGTTCAGCGCTTCCATTTCGTGCTGTGCTCTCTGACCCTGCGTCTTGGGACTGGTTTCGTCGTCGTTTCCTCAGCGAAAGCCCGCTTCCTTCATCTTCTAATGATGAAGATTTGCGTTTTCTCAAGCTGCGAGGGGCGTCAATGGGCTCCTCATTGAGCTCACTGTCATTGTCGCTTTGAGAGCTGGCATCTTCGTCATCGTTCACGTGCTGACCAGATTCATGCTCTCCTGGTACCTCCGGTACATCAGACTGTTGGGAGTGTATCTCGGCATTGTGTTCAACATCGCGATCCTCCATCTCCTCATCTTCACTCCCCACGTCGGATTCTTTGCTGAAGCATTCAGGGCATTTCCAACTCTCGGGCGCTGGTATTGTCAGCATTTGCTCAACTGTGCTTACACATTGAAACATACTATTCTCCGCACTCATTGCAGCCGCATCGCGCGCGCATTGTTGGTGAGCTGTACTTGATAAGTTTCCAAACCGAAAAAATAATAATGCATAGGTATTGATGTGGTAGGTGAACTTACCATTACCACCACAACGCACACAGGCCAAATAAACCTCAAACTCCTCGCTGGGGTCTTCGTCTTCATTATGGCCGCAGAAGATACAGTTGCTCGAGGCGGCCATCTCGTCATCTTCATGATCTTCCTCGGCCTCTGCAGCATCATCCCATGCGGCCTCCTCGTCTGACTCGTCGTCGTTTGCGCTTGGTGATTCGGATTTATCGCTTTCACTATCATCTTCGTCGTCGCTTCTTGTCCCTGGTTGGAACTTGACGGCACCAACACCTTCGTCTTCCTCATAGTCTTCTCCTTCAGCATCAACATCTTCATCCTCCTCGGCATCTACATCGTCTTCTTCATGTTCCTGATCTCCTTCAACATTTTCGTCATCTTCCTCATCACCGCCTTGGGGAGGTCCAACACTGTCGTGAGAAGATGCCTGCGGAGGTACCGTATAGTCGTTGTCCTCCTCTCCAGATGCGTCTACATCCTCGCCAGATGCATCGTGGTCGCCGAACTCGGCATCGCCATTCTCTGCAGGGGCTTGATTCGTATCATAGCTTCCTTTACCTCCGCTTGGCCTAGATGCGATTGTTTTTGTTGTTTTGCCTCCTGTTTCGCCTGCCGTCTCATATTCAGCATCCTCGTCGGAAACCATGACGCTGTGTGGAAGCTCTTCAGCCATAGTTTGTGCGCCTGTCATGGTTACCCCCGCGTCCCAAAAGAAAATGTCCTGAAACGAGAGCCCCGAGTTTGCATATCGGTCGCTTTCGGTAGGTTGCGAAGGGTTTCTCGCAGGGTGGTCACGTCTGCTTCATCGCGGTACGCGGGCTTGCATCGAGGGGCGGCCGGGAGCGAATGCGCAGTACAGGTTGCTTAAACGAAAACTCGAGGGTGAATTGACACGCCCAATTTGATTTGAACCACGCGTTCGTAGAGAGTCTAAAGATCGTAGAGATGCGATAGGAAAGCCGCTGAATCACGTCGCGTCAACTTGTGTGATATCAAACAGCAGCCGCGGGAGCTAGTTGCCACAGTGCGTGCGACAGCTTCTTAGGGAGCCCCTCCAGGGGAAAGAGAAAAAGTCCAGAATGGTAAAAGCGAAAGTGCTTATCGGCGGATTATTGAAGAACTGGCAGTTTTAGTATAGTATACAGGTGTAAGGGAAGTAAACTAGGTTTTTCCTTTGATCCAATTCGGATTTTAAAAGTCTTGAGAGTGTTGAATCACTATCAATAGAGAACCTGGAGTTTACTCCTCCTTTTCTTCTGTTCTCTTGCTATGCTTCTATTGCTATGGAGCTTGGTAACACACTGTGCGACAGGTCCCCTCAGTTACTGTACCGCGACGCAGGGATAGTTATGGGGCTTCTGGCCTCAGGCACCGAAATCCGCATCACCAATCGCTGAGTCGTCAATGGCTCGGTTGGACGTGAGCTTCAATTCAAGGCCCGTTTGCTCGGTAGACTCACGACCACCGCGACGAACCCGGAAGACAGGTCAGGCCCGGTCAATTCAAATTCTCGTTCTCCGATACATACGTCAAGTACCTTTGAGTCTGCTCAGGCAGCGCCGCCGTCACGATGCCCGTCCCTTTTGAGGCTCTTCTTCCCTATGCCATCATGATTGGTGTATGTCACCATCCGATCTCGCTACCGCACGATACCGAAGCTCATTGATGATTGATAGATGTTTGGTATCTCTGGTACTGGTCTTGCCGTCGTCAAGAACTGGCAGAACGAGGGCAAACGACCCCGTTACTCCGTGGATCAATGGGATAGAGTAAGTTATGGGCATTCGACGGTATCGTCAATACTAATTAGTTTATAGCAAAGTATGATATGTCCAGCCGGATGAAAGCTCGAGGGTACTAACGAATTGAACAGTGATGGACCGTGACCGCCGACTTACGGGAACTCTACGAGGACAAACAGACAAACCGGAAGCGCCTTTAGGCTTCGAGTTGAACAACCCTTGGAAGGTTTGTTTTTCTATTCAACCAGCGATTCAAGCATTAATTCGATCAAACAGTTGGAAACACGCTTTTCTTAAATGGCGATATGAAACCGAGGGCAAATAACCAGAGAAGACAGCCCAGAACTGCAATTATAAATACACATATTTAGGGTACTAGTAGCAAGGCATCGAAGCCTATGAGACGGATGGACAGTGGCCAAGAGAAAGATTAAAACATTCCCAAACAAAGTACTTTGTTCAAGTTACAGTGCAATGAAGCGACAGAAAAATTGGTCTTGACAGCAGGGTATCCATTATATCGCTATCTCTGCTCTATTCTTATTTAGACCCTCCAACAATGTGCAAGCCTGGCACATGGTCTGACTCGACATGTAACCACACTTGACACATTTCCCTAGGTTTTGTTTTGGTGCAGGAGTCTCCTTTTGCTTCTTGGTCCTTCTTGGCAAGGCAACTATGTCGTCCTTAGGTGCTCCATTGGATGTGATCTCTGTCTCGAGAGCTGCAGACTCGTGCTTTTTCTTCAGGCTGGCCTCGACCTGGGCCATCTCATTGCCAGAAGTCCGCCCGTTGGCTGATCCGCAACCTCCGAGTCCCTCGCCTTCGTCGCAGCCACACGCAGCTTGGCCTTTGTCTGGTGCAAGTCGAGCCATGTCCTCTCCACTTCGTACAATGTCGAGAATTGCACTTGGCCGCACTTTCTCCAGATTCTTGATAAGTCCACGCGCGGTTCCCCTGAAAGCCTCGGGGCTGTAAATACACTCTGTGCTGAAGTAGTCCAGCTTCTTGTGATGTGCGTAAAGTACGATCTCCTTCTCGTATGCATACTTGAGAGGCTTGCTTCTCTTGACCTCACTGCTTGCGTTTCCGGTAACAATACTGGTACTTCGGGATAAGCGTGGCATGTCGCCTCGTAGCAAGTTCATGAGAACGGTTTCGGCAACATCGTCAGCGTTGTGACCAGTGATGACATGCTGAATGGCCAGCTTTTTGGCTCCTCGGTCGAGGGCCTGTCGTCTGAAAACACCACAATATGTGCAATTTCCCTTCTTTCCGATAGTCTCGACAACTTGGTCCATGGTCCATCCGTACAGTTCATCGTAACCAACAATTTCCAGAGGCATGTCGTATTGAACAGCATTTCGCTTGACTGTCTCTAGGGAGTCGTCCCGATATCCCTTGATGCCCTCGTCGACACTCAAAAGTACTAGGTCGAGTCCATAGTTGTGTCGTTCATTCAAAGTCTTCATTACAGAAGCCAGCACTGTTGAATCCTTGCCACCTGAAGCACCAATAGCAACTCGTTCACCCGGAAAGAAGAGGTCTGATGATGTGATTGTGTGATGGACTTCGTCCTCGAACACTCTGATGAAGCAGTCTCGGCATAGCTTGTGATGGTTCTTGGGTCGCTTTACAACAGCTCGGTTGTTTTGACACCGAACACAAGGTGTAGGTGCCATTTTGCTGTTAGTGGAGTTGAAATTCTCAACTGAGTCTCAACTGGTTGGGTCTTTGTGATTGTTTATATGGACGAAGTGAGTGGACGACTTATCCAAGAGCTTTTATGCCGACGAATTTCAGTTGTTTTTTTTTTCAGGGGAGTCTTTTGAAATTTACTTTGACTTTACAGATTCTAGCTTTCTTTTTTCCTCCATCAAGATGTTGCCTTCCAATTATTGACTCAAGCAGTGAGTAGTATGTTTGCCTGACTGTAAGAGTCACAGTCACGTGCGCGGCATTAGTCGTGAGAAAAGATCGATCCCACCCTTTCCCCTCCCCTGCCTGGCCTTAGGTTGTTTCTTCCAGCCAGTGGAGTCGAGTTTTTCTCAATGTGGGTACAGATTTCAAAGAAGCCCTAATTATTTTTCACCAAAGGCACTCGCTTTTCTTCTTATTGACTTTTGTTCTCCATCCACCATCGTGTCCTGGACTTTTGCTCTTCAACCTACGAGCAACTACTAACCCCAACTATTCAAGATGGTGAGTGAATGAAACAATCGACTCGACTCTAATGGCCACAGTTTTGTGAGTCAAATGCGCTTTATTGTGCAATTGAGCCACAGCGTCGTCCACTCCGTGGTCGACACATGCTGTTGGTATTCCGCCAGTATTCGATCACTGTGACAGGTATCGAGCTGGTGAAGACTTGGCTGGAGATGCGGCGTGTGCAGAAATGCCACGGCCTATTCTCGTTAGAGTTCAGAGAAGACCTTTTGTTGGCTTGAACGCCTTGCTGATGTCTTCTTTTCTCAATGACAGCCTCCCAAGTCCGGCAAGAAGGTCGCTCCCGCCCCTTTCCCTCAGGGTAAGGCTGGCAAGAAGGCCGCCAAGGTTAGTAGTTCTCTTGTCTCTTCTGGTGGGATAATCGCTGACATTCATAGAACCCTCTTCTCGAGAAGCGACCTCGCAACTTCGGCATCGGCCAGGACATCCAGCCCAAGCGAAATGTCTCTCGCATGGTCAAGTGGCCCGAGTATGTCCGCCTCCAGCGACAGAAGAAGATCCTTCAGATGCGCCTGAAGGTTCCCCCGGCTCTCGCTCAGTTCCAGCACGTCCTCGACCGCAACACTGCTGCCCAGGCCTTCAAGCTCCTCAACAAGTACCGACCTGAGACCAAGGCCGAGAAGAAGGAGCGTCTCCTCCAGGAGGCTACCGCCGTCAAGGAGGGTAAGAAGAAGGAGGATGTTTCCAAGAAGCCTTACACTGTCAAGTACGGTCTCAACCACGTTGTTGGCCTCATTGAGAACAAGAAGGCTTCTCTCGTCCTCATCCCCAACGATGTCGAGCCCATCGAGCTCGTCGTCTTCCTCCCTTCTCTTTGCAAGAAGATGGGTATCCCTTACGCCATTGTCAAGGGCAAGGCCCGTCTCGGAACGGTCGTCCACAAGAAGGTATGCTTATCGAAACCATGAGCTCAAGTTCGTGTCTAACAAGTCACAGACCGCTGCTGTCCTCGCCATCACCGAGGTCCGCTCCGAGGACAAGAACGAGCTCTCCAAGCTCATCTCCGCTGTCAAGGACGGTTACCTTGAGAAGCACGACCAGGCCCGCCGACAATGGGGTGGTGGTATCATGGGTCCCAAGGCTCAGATGAAGATCATCAAGAAGCAGAAGGCTCTTGAGGCTGCTACCAAGATCTAAGGCTATTTGTTTATACCCCTCACAATGCATTGCGATTTCGGGATCAAACGGTGTTGCACGGTTCAGGGCATGGAAAATGAATGATTTTTCTCGGGTTACGTTTCGTCCCATCCCACTTCGCAGTGACCAGTGAGGCCAGTCTCATGACCCTCCTAAAAAATAGATGATGAGCTTGCTTCTTGGACAAGACTTCAGCCTAAAGTGAATGTTTCGCCTTTTAAATGTCCTATTAAGAGGATCTCAAACCCTAGCCTCATCAAGTGCCTTCTACGTGCCCATACAAGCGGATTGGGGTTTTGCATTGATTTTGACAGAGCTAGCACGCAAAATATGTTACATCTTGCCATTTCTACTGCTGAAGGATTATATAGTAGTCAGGGCTGTGGCTGCTGAAGCAGTTTATTCCTAAAGATACAACGCCAATCACGGTACTTGACCATACTCGGGTATACGTGACGTATGTCGCACCGTTTGCATTCACACTGATCAACCTTGGGTGGCTTTATCTTGCCTTGATCACTTCAGACCCTATTTGCTATGTCATCGAGCTGAGGTTGAGCACTCATAGCTTTGGGAACCAATGATTCAGCTTCATTGGCGAGAGGAAATCCAAGATAATCACAGCCGACTCAAAACAATTGCGTTCCCTTCAAGCCATGCTCTAAATTCATCTTATCGTCAAAAAGAAGCTATTCTGTTGCCATTGCCGCTTTAATTTCCCCTCGTCTGTCGCCCCACTTGGTGTGTTTGTGTGTTTATAAACGTCGCTCAACTCATTCAAACAACAAAAGGCGCCGGCCGGCAGTGTAACTGCTTTCGATTAACCGAAGACAAGCTTGAAGATGTCGTTGTAGACGAAGTACTGTCCATTCGCATCGCGGGCGAGCTGGAAAGACTGGCTGAAGTTCATGGGGCGCTGCTCCTCATCGACCTAATATTTGTTAGTGGGCACATTTCAGTAGGCTGTGGGATAGTCGTAAACATACAAGGAGAGCACCGGTAATGAGGATTATGACACCGCCCTGGTCATTGGAGGGCTGGGCATCGAGGGTAGAGACTTGGTGCTTGACCTTCTCAAAGGGGAGGCCCTGTTGGAGAGATTGTTAACAACGCCGACTCGAAGTCGCTGGTGACGAAGGGATGCATACAGCAAGCTTCTCGGTAATAGCCTGGGTGCCGAGGACGGAAGCAGACTCAAAAGTCAGCATAGAGTGGTCTCGCTATTATCAGAGTTAGCGGGTTGTTCTACTAGAGTGCTCGTCGTTGAGCTGGAGGGTCACTTACGTAGAGAGCAGCGAGACCCTTGCGATCACTGTCGAAGGTGTTGTAGTAGAACTCAACAAACTGCTCTGTTTGTTTTTCGTTAGGATTCTCTTCATGACCGTGTGGGTTGGACTCATAAATCAGTCCAGGAGGGCTCCAAACATACTGGCAACTTCCTCAAAGTCTAGAAGTGTGCGCGGTTAGATTCTCTCGTCGTACAGCCATTCCAGAACAGTATAAACTCACTTCCGGCCATTTTGAAGTCTGGGGACCTGTCCTGGTCGTTTTAATCGCTAATGCGTCGAGAAAGGGGGATCCGAAGGGTTTTAACTAAGGTAGAGAACCGTTGGGTTGTCGCAAAGTCTGCCTGAGGGGAAAGCAATGGAAGCGAGCAAGGAAGAGAGAGATGAGATCGAATGGATGGTGGGGTTGAGGGGGCACAGTGCAGATTAGGCTCAAACGTCAGCGATGATGGGCTGCTCCTAGCTGGTGCCCACTGAAATACACTGCAGATTAGGTACAGGGCTGTGCTCATACAGTGCGGCTTCGCTATAAGCATAAATGGCGGGATGGAGCTTGGATATGCCGATAATTGACCATACCCCGGTCCGCCGACTGAATAAAATTGCGCTGGAGCTGCTTCTGAAAAACTTTCTTTGTCTTCAACAACA